GGCGTAAGCACTAATAACGTTTACTATATTTTGTCCAATAACTAATTTAACTAACAAAATCCTATCACCTTTCTTAAGTGTACACACGTGTCCCCCGATTGTCCAAAATGTGTCCGGATCTAAAAAACTACTGACATATTTGGACATGCATCTAACATGAAGAAATGTCCAACATGTATCATTGGATCTATCATCAACTTCTCAAGAATGTTAACTGACAAGGTACTAGCTACTAAAGACTGCAATTTCTGCCAGCAATTTGTAGAGCAAACTCAATAAACCTTTTGGAGCTACCAGAGGCTACAAGCACGGGTGCAGGCTATTTATTTCAGTATCAAAGCATGGTTCTACGATCACTAACTTGTCATCAACATATAGCATTTCAAAAAACTTCTTGTCCGTCTCATAACACATCATCAGGTACAAAGGATAAAACAACATTTTGATTTGCTATAATTCAAAGTGGCAGAGAGCATAGAAAAATCATTAATTTAATGTCAAACTCTTACTTTATTGTCGCACTGAAACTATATACATCTGACTTTTCATTATGTATCTCCTTTCTCAATATTTCAGGTGCCATATAAATGAGTGTGCCGACCATATTCTTTTTATGGAAACCACCAGTTGGCTTTCTAGATGATCTCCAGTTCTCCAAAGAAACTCGTTTAAGATCTTTCTTATATTCTGCTAAACCAAAGTCTGCCAGATGTGGACGAAGGTTTTCATCAAGCTTCCAAAAAAAAAAAAAAATAGAGGAAGCAGCAACATGTTATTCAACCACTTCAATAGGAAACACAAAATCTTACCCACAAAAAGATCAGAAACAAAACAAAACAAAACAAATTAGAAAATGGTGATGACGTTTACAAGAATATTTGCTGGTTTTACATCCCTGTGTACAATCCCAAGTTTATGTAGATGTTGCAGAGATACGTTCACAAAACAGAGAATCAAAGCAAAGGAATAAACATACAGCAATAAGCTTATCCAATGCCAGTAATCAGCAATCAATCTTTTCCTATGGGACCACATTACATCAAACCCCTCTTGTCGGGGAAAACCCATCTCGAGTTTGAAGAGATGTTTACGTTTCAAAAAAAATTGCTCCGAAGTTTCTCCTTCCTATGTACTCGGATTTAGCTTAGTTTGGTAATTGGTTAGAAAAAATTTCAAGTGACATAACTCAAATGGAGAACTTTACTACATTCAGCCCAAACTCCCAAACAAGTAAACTGGTTTCTCATAGGAATTCCATCAAAACACATGTGGTACCAAGCAAAGAGTAAACAAATTAAGTGATTGGACACAGATGAAATCCTCATCATCATCATCATCAGCAGCAGTAGCAGCAGAGAAGAAAGAGAGAAGGCAACATCAGTGACAGAGGAAAGATCCAACAACAGTTAGGCAGAAGACAAAACAACAGCTACAGCAGAGAACAGACAGATCAGCAGTAGCAGGAGTAGGGAAGTAGATAATAGATTCAAAGAAGAAGCAGAGAATAGAAGCAACATCAGTGAAGAAGAAGAAACCAGCTGGGAAGATGAAGAAGAAGAAAGCAGTAAAGAAGAGGAAGAAAAAGCGAAGCTAAGCTATGCAGAGAAGGAGAAAGAACCAGGGAAGATGTAGAAAAGAGAAGAATATGCAGAGAGAGAGAGACAAATGAAGCAGAAGATGTTGAGAGAAAGAAACAGAGAAGAAGCAGCGAGAGCTGAAACCAAAACAAATTTGGAATTTCTAAATTAATGGGACGAGTAATTTGAAGAGGTTCAGTAGTTACCATTAAATCCATAAAGTAATTCCAAGAATTTTCAGCTGAAACTTAAAGAGGTATCTAATTAGGACGTCTACCTAAGATGCTGAGTAGCAATACCAAATTTTAAAATTGGCGAGGTTTTTTTCCTTTTGGATGATGAAGAACCTCTCCAAGACAGGGTCTAGATGCCAGCAAGAGCTGAACCCAAAACATCTGAGTTTATATCTTATCCAAGAGTTCACTCCTTTGACTACTAGGCTATCCATGCAGGTTAAATTGGTGAGATGTTGGAAATAATTTAGAAAAATTAATATTATTTGCATTATTTATTCATAAATGTTTTAAAAATTGAAATCATATTCCACGTTAGCTATTCCCATGTATTACAGAAATTCAAGGATATATATCAAAATTTTTGAAGAGCATTATGTCCATCGTGACATAAATACTTCATTACCATCACTCATATGTTTAGACATTCTTATAAATCTTGTGCAACATGCTAAAACTTACCAATAAGTTAATCTCTTTATTTTATTTTGGTCAATGGTCAATAACCTAATCTAAGTTTGGGTTCCCTTCTCTAGATGCATCAGGAATAATCTATTCAAAATTGACAAAAAACACTACTAATTCCTATATGTTGAAAAAAATAATACTTAAGAACACAACATGGTAGTAGATTGCACATCCTTAATCATTGACACCGTATGTTTTATGGAATGTGTGTAAAATCTAAGCCAATGCTATCAAAAGCGTGCTTAGGCACGCACCTAGGAACAAAGTGCAGTAAAGTGCACCTGAGGGATGGCAAAATTCCTCGGCCCGATTGTATTTGTGCCAGGGTAGGGTAAACTACAGCGGTAGGTAGGTCAAAACTGTTAGGTTTATAGCAAAGTATAAAATTGTATCACTAAACTAATTGAGTTTAAAAGCAAGAATTCACACTCAAAACCCGATCCATTGCCATCCCTGAGGTGAGATGACATTAACGAAGCGCATCCGAGGCATGCGCCTATTTCAATTGCTCCTAATTTGTTAAAGACATGATAGCAACCCTTCAATCAAATGAAGTCCATTGTAATTTCATTTGTTCCTATAAAAGCCTCCCGAATAAATAGAAAACTCCAACCTTAATCAACAAATTAAAGTTACATACAAAGCATTTACATTTTGACTTTCATATCATTTTTTTTTTATTACCTTTTTTCCCTCTAGACGGTGACAATCGTCAAATAGTAATTTGCAGCCTTAAGTGTTTATCTATGAAGCATGGGTGCGGGTGCGGGTACGATACGGGTACACCGATACGGCAAATTCTTTAAAAAGTAGGGTACTAGTACGGCTAGGCGCATCAATTTTACGTCAATTTTTTTAAATTTTTTTTAAAAATTTATAGCTAAACATCCAACCTACAAATCAAAATTTCAATATCAAAACTAAAAAGAGAATAACTTGTCTAAAAGGTTATACAATTATTTTTTTTTCTTTTTTGATTGTCTAAAACAGGATACAAAAGAGAGCAAAACCATGACTCGTAGGTAAAGAGTGTAGGAAATAAATTACTTGATATTTTCAAAATTGAAAGAATAATAATAAAGGCTGCAATAAATTCTAGCATCTTAGGGAAAAAAAAAAAAAAAAAATCATTTTGCCGTACTGGTGTCGTACCCATGCCGTACCCACAACGTACCCAAATGTATTTGCCGTACTCGGCATGTATTCGGCGTACCCGGTATGCGTACTGCCGTACCAGTACTCGTACCCGCACCCGATAAGATTTTTGGAGTACCGTACTTCATAGGTGTTTATTGTTTAATGACTAAATTTTAATAATTGTTACTATTATTTTTTTTGATAAATATTATTATTATCATTATTATTATTATTGCTAGGGTTGTTGGAGTTTTGCTCCTAACACAAATCTATGATTTAAGTTACAATTTTACTCCTTCAATTGTATCTAAACAAAAACTAGAGCTAAATTTTTTGTTTTCGTCCAGAATTGAAAAGATGTTTTGAAAACAATTTAGGTTTAATAGAAGACTCTGTCTAAAGGATTTACTACATTTCTTTATTTATTATTTTTCCAAAAAAGACTAAATGTCCAAGAATTCCGAAAATTCATCATTTGTAATAATTGTGACAGAGCACGAGTAGTACCATTAGCAACACTCAGTAAAAAGAGACTTCAAGCAAGAAAACCACCAATGGAAAGATTCACTATATAACTTTACAGTAGTTAGAAACCTAAACCTGAAATCTACACCACATCACTAACATGTCATCAATGTGAACTAAGCACCTATAAGAATCATCTCAAGTATTTCATATTACCTAAACAAATCATAACAGGTAATAAAACACTATGAGTCTATGAGTGTCATGTTCAGCCTAATCTACACTACTTATTTACCCTTAATAAGAGGAATTTTGCACATAATATCACAAAGAAAATACAAAGAATTTCAATGACCAGTAAGGAATTAAGGTTTACTTCACAAAATTAAAACAAACTCAAATGAAGCCAAGATCATCAAAGACATACCTAACTGGACTGAGATGGTGAGCACTTGATCAAAAGTTGGATTCCACTCTTCCACGTGTAGTTTCTCTGCCAAATTTAGGGACTCTTTGAAGAAAAACACGTAATTTGGAAGCTTTGCATGTGCTGTTGCATGTGGCAATTCTTGGATGATCTAACTTGCTTCATCATCACATCATATAACCAAATTGTCAAAAAAGAATCCCGCATATCATATGTAGACGTTCAAATAAACAAACCAAATACACATACATAAACATCTACACACATAAATTCATATATAAGCACATATTTTATACTATTATTAGAAGGTAACACCTTAATTGATGTCCCTGACAGATTTTTAGTATGCCTGAATTACCCCGTGCTCAAAACATTTTGGATTCTATTTTGATTTGCACAGAATGATAAAATGGTAAAACTACCTAAAACCACCTCAACATCCTTTTCTAGAACCAATATCCCTCTCCTCCCCAAAATGCATCATGGCCAGCCCCAACCTTGAGGCAAGACCACCAAGGGCCTCCAAATTTTAACAAAATTTAGGGGCCCCTAATTAATTTTAACTCTTATAGCATTAGTAGGCTCAAAAATAAGGATTCAGTACAACTAATCTAAGTTCACAATCTAAACTAAAGGGTCCTTACAGATTATGCAAGCTTAATTAGTAATTTTGCATTAAAAAATGTGAGAAAAGTAATATTTAACTGATACACTGTTGTAGTTGGTTCAATTTTTATTTGGTATTATTTAACTGATACCTTTTTGTAAACTGAATTTGGTCAAATTATAAAACTAACAAGACAATATTCTTATCATTTTGAGCTCTTGTAATGATTTTTCTTCGTGTCTTAATTTGTGTAAGTAAATTTTAGTAATTATATCTGCAAGCTAAATTTGTGTGGGTAATAGCAAATTTAAATATATATATATACATCAAATGTAAATACTTACTATTTTACATGCAATTTTTTTAATGATTATATATAAAAGGCTCCAATTTCCAGAGTCCGCTTAGGGCTCCAACAACTCAGGGCAGGCCTTGATCATCGCACTATAGTCGGTTACTTACATAGTGAGACACACACACACATGTATATACACACAAAAAGGGGATTTGCTAATTTGGAATTCACGTAAGGCAGAGATAGAAAATGAGAAAAGGTGGAGAATATTTGTGTGCTAAATAGGACAAAATGAGCTAATGTATATATGGAGAGAGTGAGAGAGAGAGAGTAGAAATGACCATAGCATTTGCAATTCCTTGTGGAATTTATCAATGTGATCAGAGGTAGACAAAATGGGTTTTTTCACAGCAACCTTGTTTCCATCCAAAACAGCTTCATAAACCACACTTCTGCTCCTGAAACAGAATGAATACACACCAATTCAGTTTCACATTCACAACAACAAAGCCAATGTGAGAGCAAATTAAGGGCCACAAATTAAGCGTTCTCTTTGAATTGCAATTGAGAAACAAAAAAACAAACACACACATATATTTATTGATTGATACCTCGAGCAATTGGGTTTAAGAGAGAGTAGGAAGAAGGTGGGAGATGCAGAGGAATTGAGTCGCTCCAGCAGCAACCCCGAATGCATGTGTTTGGCTCCACAATCTCCATCCCCATATCTCTCTCTCTCTCTCTCTCTCTCGCCTCTCACCCATGTATATATTTATATGTTTATGTATATGTAGAAGAGGGTGGAAAAACGAAGCTTCGGGTTGGGACTGGGATGGAGAGGATGAAGATAGATTATTTTGCTAGGTCGGTTAAAAATTAGGATGAAGATAGATTATTTTGCTAGGTCGGTTAAAAAGTTGAATTTTTATTTATTTTATTAAAATTGTACGAGCACGAAATAATTTGTCTCGTATAATTCTGTTGATGAAGTTTGCACTCCTTCAAACGTCGTCGTCTTATCACCTGAAAATACAAACGTGATTTAGCTGGTGGGTGTGTGCCGGAAACCCTTCCAATGCCTAAGTCAGCAAATAGACTATAGATAAAAACGTCTGTGTATTTGAGAATAAGAATTCTGATACCTGTACGTAGGTCCTATCATGAGCTTTTATAGATTCCACCTGGCACAATCTTAGTAGGACTCCAGCTCTCCTTATACGAGTCCTCCTAATAATCACACTCCCAAGGATAATCCCTATCCTGATAACATCCTACTCACTACCAACCAAGTGAGACGGCTCTAACCTCCTACCTTGGCTCGGTAGTACACTCAATCGAGCTAGCCTGCCCCTGCTCTACATTGGATAGAACCAAGATGGTATTCGACTAAGATAACCTTCAGTCCAGTATGCTACAAATATACCCCGGTCCGAGTTGCTGTTTACATTTAGCCAATCTGCTCCAATCCTTGGATTGATATCTGTACACCACAAGACCGAGCTATAAAAGCTCTTAGCTCGGCCGCAAGCGCCCTTACGAATTGTGGAGTCTACTTAGCTAGGCCCAATACTTAAACCAAATGGACCTAGCTCGGCTCGGTTTATGCATATAAATTATCCTCTCAACTGGCCCTTAGTTCCATCTGCGAAGCATGATTGAGATTATTACCTTCAAACCGTGCTAAGATATTAGCCAAAGTGAAGTACTTCGGCTAGCCGAGCTACAAAACCCACTCGGTTTTCCCGTCTTTGACGTAGTACAGCCCGCTTTTCGACGCTGCTGACACCACGCCCTTACTGGGATACGTGGCTCCCCTTGATTGCCTCTACCGCTGTGACAGCCGTCAATCATAACTTCCAAAATTTGAATAGTCCCGCCTTTTTACTTCCATTTTGCACTTATTCCCTTAGTCTTCAAACGTCCATTGTTATTGTTCATCTGCTCTCTGGAAAACCTCTCACATTTTTAACTCCAAATCCTTATCTTCTACTGCCAAGTCCCAATCCAAGTCGCAGGGGCTCGTTTGATTGAATTCTGCTTTCACGCCCTTAATCTGTAAGTTCCTCATGCCATTTTCTCTGTTTTAACTGATACGCCTTTGTTTATTTTCTTAAAGAATAGCAATTAATCTCCCATATATGTGTGTTATATGCAATAGAGCCTTGAGCAAATACCATAAACCCAAAAAACCTCACGCTCAAACCTAAAGACACACTCAACTGGATTTTGAATCAATTTCGAACATGATTTTTGATCCAAAATTGTGTTGTGACCAAACTATGAACTTGTTTGCGACCCTTGGGATAGTACTCGACTAAACTAGAAATGTATAGAACACCAACCGTGCTATAAACCTTGAGTCGGCCTTGTTTCACGACCGAATTAGAAATGGTCTGTAACTCAACTGTAACCAAGCTAGGCTGATATTACTTTGCCTATTTACTTAGCGCAATCCAGTTATCTGGGCATTACACTTTTATTTCCACTTTGCAAACATGACTAGGTTGGCCAGGCACACCCTTGCACTTTCCCCCTGGGCGAGTTTGCTCAGCCGAGCCATCCAAAGTCACACCAGGGCCGAGCTAGGCAGTCGTGTTCATAACAATTTTTAAACCAATGGGCAAATACCGGTTTCTGGTGGACTTGCTTGTGCCATGGTTGAATTTCGAAGCGACTACCATATTCCGGACGACGTCCACCTTTCCTGAGTCGAGCTAGACACCACCCCTTGGGGCAAATCAGGTTTTGTTCCCTTTACCGTGATATCCATCGTAGAGGGGGAACTTTGGCTCTCAGTCCAACCACTCATTTGCGAATTCCTTAGGCCAACCAGACGTGCCCCACCTAATTATCCACCAATTCTTCATAAACGGAATGGCTGAGCTAAATTCCTCAGGCTTTAGCCTGGCAATGCCCCAAACACCTCAGGAGGGTCCAAGGTAAGTTGCGGAGACTTACGGAACTAGCACGGGACTCTGGATTTGAGAACTAAATAAAAAAATGCACTTTTTTCACACTTAAGCTTGAAAATAAGCCGTCGGGGCCAAAACCGTGTAACAGTCACGAGAACGCCCGGGGAACACGTCAAAGACCCCGGGAGGACATGAGACTCCCCGTTTGAAAACTAAGTCCGAAACGGCACTTTTCTCACACCTAAGCCTGAAAATAGTCCATCGCGAGCCAAAATCGTGTGACAGTCAAGAGAAGATCCGGGGAACACCTCAAACACCTAGGAGGGACCAACGTGAGTTGTGGAAACTTACGGAACTCGCATGGGACTCCCGGTTGGAAAACTAAGTGAAAAAATGCACTTCTTAAACACTTAAGTTTGAAAATAGGCCATCGGGGGCAAACAAATTCCGTAACGGTCCCGAGAAGGCCCGTGGAAGACCAACAATTCCGGGGAACACTTCCTTAAGTTTTGAAAACTTACGGAACTAGCGCGGGACTTCCGATTTGAAAACTAAGTCGGAAAAGTTACTTTTTTCACACTTAAGCTAGAAAATAGGCCTCGGCGGGCCGAATCGTGTAACAATCACGAGAAGGCCTGGGGAACACCTCGAACAGCTCAGGAGGGACCAATTTGAGTTATGAAAACTTAATGAACAGGCACGGGACTGTCGATTTGAAAACTAGGTCGGAAAATACACTTTTCTGACACTTAAGCTTGGAAGTAGGCCATCGGGGGGCCAAAATCATGTAACAGTCGCAAGAAAGGCCGGGAACACCTCAAACACCTCGGGAGTGACCAACTCGAGTTGTGAAAACATACGGAACTGCCACGGGACTCCCGGCTTGAAAACGAAGTTGGAAAGAGACACTTTTTCCACTCTTAAGCTTGGAACCGGGGGGGCCAAAACCGTGTCATTGTCACGAGAAGGACCAGGAAATGCGCAAAACACCTCGGGAGGGTCCAAAGTAAGTTGCGGAGACTTACGAAACTAGCACGGGACTCTCGGTTTGAGAACTAAATCAAAAAATGCACTTTTTTCACACTTTCGAAAATAAGCCGTCGGGGGCAAAAATTATGTAACAGTCACGAGAAGGCCCGGAGAACACGTCAAACACCCCAGGAGGGACCGATGTAAGTTGTGAAAACTTACAGAACTAGCACGGGACTCCCGGTTTGAAAACTAAGTCTGAAACGGCCCTTTTCTCGCACCTAAGCTTGAAAATAATCCATCCGGGGAACACCTCAAACACCTAGGAAGGGACCAACGTGAGTTGTGAAAACTTACGGAACTCGCATGGTACTCCCGGTTCGGAAACTAAGTCAAAAAATGCACTTCCTAAACCCTTAAGTTTGAAAATAGGGCATCAGGGGCCAAAAATATCCTGTAACAGTCCCCGAGAAGGCCCGTGGAACACCTCAAACACCTCGAGAGTGACAGACGCGAGTTGTGAAAGCTTACGGAACTAGTACGGGGACTCCCGGTTTGAAAACTAAGTTGGAAAGAGACACTTTTTCCACACTTAAGCTTGAAAACAGGCCTCGTCGGGCCGAAATCGTGTAACAATCACGAGAAGGCCCGGGGAACACCTCGAACATCTCAAGAGGGGCCAATTTGAGTAGTGAAAACTTAACGAACAGGCACAGGACTCCCAATTTGAAAACTAGGTCGAAAAATACACTTTTCTAACACTTAAGCTTGGAAGTAGGCCATCGGGGGGCCAAAATCATGTAACAGTCGCAAGTAGCGCCGGGAACACCTCAAACACCTCGGGAGTGACAGACGCGAGTTGTGAAAACTTACGGAACTAGCACGGGGACTCCCGGTTTGAAAACTAAGTTGAAAAGAGACACTTTTTCCAAACTTAAGCTTGGAAATAGGACACCGGGGGGGCAAAACCGTGTCACAGTCACGAGAAGGAATGGAAAATGCCCCAAACACCTCGGGAGGGTCCAAGGTAAGTTGCGGAGACTTACGGAACTAGCACGGGACTCTTGGTTTGAGAATTAAATAAAAAAATGCACTTTTTTCACACTTAAGCTCGAAAATAAGCTGTCGGGGGCCAAAATCATGTAACAATCACGAGAAGGCCCAGGGAACACGTCAAACACCCCGGGAGGGACCGATGTAAGTTGTGAAAACTTACGAAACTAGCACGGGACTCCCAGTTTGAAAACTAAGTCCAAAACGGCACTTTTCTCCCACCTAAGCTTGAAAATAGTCCATCGGGGGTGAGGGGGCCAAAATCGGGTGACAGCCAAGAGAAGGTCCGGGGAACAGCTCAAACACCTAGGAAGGGACCGATGTGAGTTGTGGAAACTTACGGAACTCGCATGGGACTCCCGGTTTGAAAACTATGCCAAAAATATCCTACAATCCCCGAGAAGGCCCGTGGAACACCTCTAACACCTCGGGAGAAACCAATGTAAGTTGTGGAAACTTACGGAACTAGCGCGGGACTTCCGGTTTGAAAACTAGGTCGAAAAAGGCACTTTTTTCACACTTAA